GGCTGGACATGGGCACCAGCGATCTCGCTACCCAAAAAGGAAGAAGCGGGTAAATATAATGTGTAGTGAACTAAGCCTCAGGTCAAAAACCTGACCCTGAGGGCCTTCCTGGAACAGACTTCCTCATTGTTCAGAGCGTTCGTCGGGTAGAGCCACAGCGAGACGTCGTGGCATCGACGGACTCTCGTCACTCCATTAGAAACTGCTCGGAACTTCTGTTCCTCTGAACTTTTCTCGTTCAGGAACTCCTCGTTCGAGGTTCTCTCCGGAACTCTTGTTCAGCTTGGAACTTTGTTCTACTTGGAACTAGGAAGTGTCGACCCTTTTAAAGAGGTCACTTCCGGTTCCTCTGAGAACTTCCTGATTGGTTGAACGAACCAACAGGGGTGTGGTTTTAGTGACGTAAGAGGTTATTACAAGTCAAGGAGACAGAGTAGATATTTTAAGAACAGACAGAAAGATGTTTTGAAGAAACAGAGACATTTAGGAGCCAGTCTCCTTCTATCTATCTGAGAGAGTTAAACATGACATTTCGTTCCGATAAACATGTTTTTGACCGTTCCTTGACTTTTGACCGACTCACTCCTTCTCATTTCAGACAGAAGATCAAAGATGCATCATTACTTTGTGACAGGCATTTTAACTTGATTTCTACTTTGAATGAGGATTAAAAATCATTTATACTGTTTCACAGTTGATTTAAAATGAGTAGTTCACTTCAACATTTAAAAATGATTTGAACTAAACACACTTTGATTATCAAGATATTGTAAAATAGTAATGATAATGAAACGAGAGTGTTCTTTCAATTGACCAGTGCAGGACACACTCAGAAAGTCTCTGGATGAGCTTAATTTGTGTTTCTGGACTCAAATCAATGAAATAACAGTTCCTGTTCCAGGAAGGCCCTCAGAGTCAGGTTTTTGACCTGAGGCTTAGTTCACTACAAATGGATGGATGGGTTAGCTCATCACGCGCACATCTCCGCACCTGCTGTCATCTGCGGTGAAAGAAGTGGCAGCATAAACACTGTCCCCTACCCGGGGACCATATATTAATTAGATTTTTTGGAACAGGGAGATGGAATAGGGGCTTGTTCAGTCCACTCCACACATCGACCAGGTATTGCAGTATCTCCTGGACCGGTGCACGAGAAAAAGGAAAAAAAAAAGCTGAAGCAAGCAGCGCGTTCATTTAAAATAGCCTTGTTCTATATTTTTCCAAATTATTTTGCTTAAACAAAAACAAAAAATGCCTCATTACATATCAGATCCTGCACATTTCTGTCCAAATCACAGAGATGCCTATTCACATTGGATTAGTATCACATGACCTCAGAGTTCAGCAAAATATAGTAGGTAATTTGCGAGGGAATTTTCACTTTACAAATTACTGACATGGCCAATTCACACAGGATTAACAACACAGACAATCTCCGTAATTATTACAAATAGCATGTGGTCCCTAGGTAAAACTAATCCCGTGCAAATAGGGCTTTAGTCTCATTGAGCCACGAGGACCCATTTACAAGAAAGACCTGTAGGTCATTGATATGCTGAAAAATGAAAAAATTGTCAATCACTGAATAATGGACTGCTTCCATACTATTAAGAACCTTGAAAGGATTTCTAACATCATCTGAAATGTTGTCCTGACTCCCAAACTAAGACAAAACTACCACTGTGTTTTACACAGAGCTGTAGAAAGTCAGAGAGGCAGCTCTGTTCTGTCCTGCACCTCTTTAGATGTTGGCATTAGAACTAGAATTGCACTCAGGTCCAAAAAATCCTACCCGACCTGGCCCTAGCCTGTAGCCATCATTTCTGAACCCCACCCGATTCGACAAATTAACAGTAATCACAGGTCCGAACCCGAAAAAAGCCCAACTTTTTTAATTAATTTGACTGCTTATATAGTTATTAAAGCCTCCAGTATACTGCCGCGTACGTCCGTTCATGCGTACGTACGCGTGTACTGTGCGCAGAGGGTTCAGACATGATACTCCAGCGTACACCCCGAGCAGCTGCAGAGCAGCTTCACAGACAAGGGGCGTTTACCTTCGGGACAAATTGAGGTCGCCGATTGGTCATTTGCTGACACGCCTACTGAATTGATTGACAGGTCGGAAAAAAGAAAAAAAGCAAGCGTTGGCAGCCTGATCCGCAGCGGTGTTCTGTGTTTACTGTATATGTTGTTAATAAAAAGATATAAAAAATAAAAAAACAGGGAGCGCTGGCTCTTCAGTCCACACATCAGACCAGTCCACCAGAAAATCTCCAGACCCTCCCACAGCCATGCTGGACCTGAGTTTAATTCGCTCGTGACAAATTCCTCCATTTCTCACCATTTCAGTCATTGCATCAACGGAGAAGGAAGAGATCACTGCCTTTTGGCAAAAAAAACCAAAAGAAAAGGCCAGATCAGGGATGAAGAAGGGGAATTTAATACATTGGTGTCGCATACAAAACAGTCCGTCGCTGGGCAGTTTATTGTGCGACACAGAGTACGCGTATGTGATCGTAAAAATTTGAGCCTTGCACGGCCATGCCCTGGGGGGTACGCACGTACCTCTGCGTATGTACGTGCGTACCTCTGCGTATGGATGTACGCTGCAGTATACTGGGGGCTTAACAGTCGGCAGACACACGCGGCTGAGTAAAGTGGGTAGAAGATCAGAGCTGAGGGGGTGTTTGTCCTTTCATGGCCGTCAAAGTGCATTAAATACTTGCTTCTGCTTGCATTCTGCATTATTCAGACACGAACCCTGCTCTGACATGTCGGATGTTTTGTGTCAGCTGTTTGGGTCGTTGGCCGTGCCTGTCCTCTGAGTGCAGTGGCTGAATGAACGTCCATTTGGGCTTTGATGGATCGCTGGCAGTAGTCCATCTGAAGCTTAACTGAACTTTTTACCTCTTTCAAGGCCGGTCAATGCGCGGTCAAATGGCCACGTGCGGCTGGTGATTGTACGGAAAGCCATGTTGCCATATAATTGGATCATCAGCCGCGTACGTCTGCTGATGCTATCAAAAGCCAGACACCGACCCGGCCTTAATCTTGTTTGAGTGGGACCAGGCTCTGGGTTTGGGTTAGAAATGACAGCTCTAATTAGAACCATGCTCCATACGTCCGTTCTACCGCGATCCTCTCATAAGGTTTGTCATCAACGTGTGCCACACTGCTGCAGCATGGCAGCACTGATGAGAGCTCTGCTTCGACTCACACTTTAGTTCATTGTTGTTGTTTTTGTTTTTTTTACTTTTTGCACATGCACTGCACTCCCATGCTACGGGTATGACAGTGACATACTTTTGGAGTTGCGATTGTCAGTGAGTGGGAACTTTGGGCCGACTTTTGGAGACTCGGCATTGGACATTTTCCCCTGGGTCCTTGTTTACTTGGGCGCTGTAAGAGGGAAAAATAAACACGCAGAAATGCAGAAAACCCCCTCTTCCCCTAAGGTTTTGCTTTCAGGTGTTCCATTCTCTGAGGAATAGACTGGATGACCTGCGCGCATGGATTTATTGCAAGTGGGACACGAGGAGCTATTTGTCTTTGCCTTTACGGAAACATGGCTGAAGCTGTCTATCCCCAACTACTGTCTACCTGCTCGACAGAACTTAGTCACATCTGGAACACCTAATATGTTAATTGCTACTGCACAGTGTGGCTGTATCTTGTGTACTGTCTTGGTTCAGTTCATCTCTATGGGTATGTTTACATGGACATAAGTAACCGGATCAAATGGCCGGTCGGAATAAAAGTGTGTCATGTAAACACTCCGTTCGGGTTATTTTTTGTGTATTCAGCGCGATCCGATATAATTTGTGATCAGAACGAAACGGGTGGTTTACGCCGATCCGAAACCCGATCGGTGCGCATGTTGTAGAACTTCTTCTTCGGTGGTTTTTTTAAGGAGAGTTTACCACTCTGCGCATGTCAGTACTGCTGTTCAGAACAAAGTCTGCTGCATGTAAACGCTCGTCATGAACAGATTGTGCCCATGTAAACGATACATTTGAATTATTCAAATAGAACACATTTCAATCCGGTCAAAGAATTCTGCGCATGTAAACATAGCTAATGTTGCTCACTGCCTGTGCAGTGGCCTGCCATACACCCCGTGTGTTGTATGTCGTGTGTAACATGTATCGTGTGCATTTAATCAGTGTTACTGCCTGTGAGGTACTTGTTTGTACTGATTCATCCTAGTTGCACCATTGTATGTTGTATCATGTTATTTACTATATTTATTTTGGACCTTGTAGATGTTGTTTCTTTTTCAATTTTTGGTGCTTTGTTTTGTACTTTTGTCGCATGCTTTGGTATTTCTTGTTTATTTTTAAAAACATTTGGAGAGTCAAGACGGTTTTTCTTGTCCTGAGCATTTCATTGCATTGTTGACCTTATGTTGACCTGCATACTACCGTCAACTACTGCATCCATGCTGGGTTGTTTCCATGACCTTGTCTAGGCTGTAGCCCAGGCATGAGGCCAGTGTGGCCAGTCCTGCTTCAAACAGTCATTGACCACGCCACCCTGGTGGGCTCAGACCCCACATCATGGATACACTATCACTGCTGCCCCCACAATTTTTTATCTAAAAAAAAAAAAACAAGAATTATTTCTCATATTGTTTAAAGTCTTTACATGAGAGTCTGGCTCCTTGGAAACATTTTAATAGAAATGTAGGGATAATACAAACCCCATACATCCAAACATCTCCTGTGGACCAGGATCATTGAGCCTAAATTATATTTAATCATAATACCCATCATTATCACATCTGTGTACTCCTTATTCCCACTAACTTGAAGTGCGTAGGTTAAGGTTTATAGTAATTTTCCATCCATGTCATTATCATTCTGATCCTTCCACGTTTCTCATTAGTGTTTTTTATAGTCATTTTTTATTGTCTGTCCATGTGATGAGAATTTTAATATGCCACTTGTAATCCATCTGACAAGTTTCTTGAATTCTTGTCACTGTCTTTTTTTATATAGTAAATTTCAGAATAATGTGGTTGGACATGTGCCGAAGCTCCGCCGGGCTGAGGAGGTCATGCACCTGGCAGTGGTAGCATGTGGGAATCGTCTGGACGAGACCCTCACTATGGTCAAATCTGCCCTGCTGTTCAGCCTGAAGAAGATCAAGTTTCACATTTTTGCTGAGGACCCCTTGGTGCCACGTTTTGAGGAAAAGGTAAGGCAACTTTATTGTGTGCTTGTCCAACATGTGTTTTTGTAGCGCTCCCTAACAGCTTAAGAGGTTTTTTTTTCCTTTGGCTAGTTAATTGAAAAAAACACTTTTCTGTTTTCATTCTGCAGGCAGGAAACTCTTGCTCTCTCTTTGTAAAGATTAAGGCATTTCAACTCTCTGACTCACTTTTACCGGCTCTTTTATCTCAAGTCTGAGGTGTAATATATCACCAAGACATCCAGCTTTTTCTGCACTGCTGCGTTTCACTTCAAAGTCACCTTTACAGAGACACTTTCCCTGACTTTAGTTTGTGTGTTAGCTGTATAACACTTCAGGTAATCAGATACAACATTTAGTATCTTTAATCTAATTCTTCAGCTTGTAAAACCGCTTTTGTGTGTGAAAATATGTATTTCATCCAAGCAAGTGTTAACATAGAAAGCTTTCTTTCTGTGTCTGCACCTCTACAAAAACTGTCCTCCAGTATAACGGACAGTTGCATTTGTTCAAGTAAAATCCAAATGAATAATAAATAGAGCACATCTCCCTAATAAGTTAGACAATAACTCCTTAATATTTTTATTTATGTAATTTTAACATAAAATTGCATTGTATCACAGGAGAGTGTTTTTTTTTCTGCAAGACCTAAGTGTAAAAGAAGTTGTAGCAGTGTCCAACATACAGTATGTGGAAACAAAACAAAAAAAACTTTAATTAAACAAAACTAAACCCTAATTTATTATCCCCTGCCGTAGAACGATGAGGGGAAACTGGAAATACCCTCCATCCATCTGTGCATGTTGTGAGCATGGTAACTTGAAAGAGTGAGGTATTGACTTCCATGTTGGTGTGTGTGTGGCTACATCAAAGCATAAGAAAGGTTCCTTTCAAAAAGTGGGATCTCACGTCAAAATCCAAGATGGCTGCTGCCATTTATGTATATATGTTAACCTTGTGAGCTAGATGACTTGAAAAGTAAGCAACGTTCCGACTTCCGTTTTTGTTTTTGGCTCCATTTATGCATAAGAAAGGCCATTTTCAAAAATTGGGTTGCCATGTCAAAATCCAAGAAGGCCACCACCATAGTAATATATAAACCAACCACCCTTATCATTTGAAGAAAGTATGATTTCTAGTTTTTATATTTCTTAAAAGTATAGTTTCCTCTAGTTGGGGTGGCCTTTGGAATGAGACACAACTTTGCTATAATTTCGAGCAAAAAAAATTTTTTAGGTGGTTATCTTGTTAGGGCAGCACGGTGGCGCAACTGGTAGAGCTGCTACTTCTCAGCGCGCTGGTCCCTGGTTCAAATCCTAGTCCGGGGGCCTTTCTGGGTTGAGTTTGCATGTTTTCTCCGTGCATGTGTGGGTTTTCTCCAGGTACTCCAATTTCCTCCCACAGACCAAAAACATGCATGTTAGGCTGATTGGTAACTCTAAATTGTCCCTAGGTGTGAGTGAGAGACTGAATGGTTGTTTGTCTCTATGTGTCCCTGTGATGGACTTGCGACCCGTCCAGGTTGTACCCCGCTCCTCACACAGTGATTGCTGGACATAGGCACTGGCGATCCCCGGGACCCAAAATGGAAGAAGCAGGTAAAAGATAATGGATTGGTTGTCTTGTTAAATTTTAAAGAAATGCAGCGGCATGTCCATCTGCCCATGCACGCTTGGCAGCACCAAGGCAGTGAAACCATTTTTGAAATGCAGCTGATTTGACCATTAAAGGGCAGTTTTTAAGGAATAGTTCAACTGAGACACGCCGTTCCTATAATTTTGAGCAAACAAATAATAGTTTTTAGGTGTTTATCTTGTTAAATTTGCACAGCGACTTGTCGCATGCACGCGTTTACTTCCGTGTATCGGCTTTTGAAATACAGCCGATTTGACCCTCAAAGTGCATTTATTAAGCAAACATTACACTGAGACACACCTTTACTATAATTTCGATCAAACAAATAATTGTTTTTAAGTGTTAATCTTGTTAAAGTCTTGTTATAGTCCTCCCGTGCACATTCATGCGGCCGCCGTTTGGCAGCCCATCGATTTTTGACACAACACTGGCCCACATTTCCGGGTTGTCAGCAGTGATGCGTAAAAATTGCGACGCGTCAGCGATGATGCATAATAGATGCAACATATACGGCGAAGTGACATATTTATGTATTTTCCCACTTTATTAGACAAATATGGACTGATGCGACTTATAGGGCAGTGTGACGTGTACGGCGGAAAATACTGTACTATTCCTACTCTGTGTTTTTTTTTTCTTATCGCAGGGTTTCACGGTACGGATCCCCTGCGATAAACGAGGGACTACTATATATATATATATATATATACTTATATTTATATATGATGCCATTCCTTAGATTAGCTTTAGTAGTCAAAAATGACTAAACGTCATTGCACTGAACAACCATTATACAGGTCCTTCTCAAAAAATTAGCATATTGGGATAAAGGTCATTATTTTCCATAATGTAATGATAAAAATGAAACTTTCATATATTTCAGATTCATTGCACACCAACTGAAATATTTCAGGTCTTTAATTGTTTTAATACTGATGATTATGGCATACAGCTCATGAAAACCCAAAATGCCTGTCCCAAAAAATTAGCATAT